CAAGCCGACAAACTTTCTTTTCTTGCCCTGGCACTACAACCCCTTCGGGTTACTCCATATAGATATCTTCATTTAGATCACCGTTTAAGAAAGTTGTCTTAACATTCATTTGTGTATTTCTAAATTATACAATGCTGCAATAGCAATAAGCATGCAAATGGATGTTATTCTTGTCACAGGAGAATATGTGTCAAAATAGTCCAGACATTCCTTTTGTCTATAACCTTTTACCACAAGTCTTGCTTTATTCTTGTCTATTGAACCATCTGTTTTCATTTTTCTCTTAAATATCCATTTATATCCAAGAGGTTTAGAACCGGGTGGAAGATCCACCAATTTCCAAGTATGATTTTGTATAATGGATTCAATTTCATTATTAACAGCCTCTTTCCACAAAAGTACTTCAGGACCTGTCATTACTTCCTTAAAGCTTTGAGGTTCATTTTCTAACAGGTATGTTAGAAAATCTAGACCAAAAGATTTTGATGTTCTTACTCTCTTACTTCGTTTTGGTTCATCATCAATTAAATCCTGCTGGTCGAGACCATTACTAGTCTTTTGTGTTTGATTGTCATTAGTCTCTTGACTTTGTGTACAATCATAATTTCTTTTCTGTAAATTTAATTCCTGTTCTTTCTTGTGAGGAAAGACATGTTCAAAAAACACAGCATTCCTTGACTCTATAATAATATTCACATTTATATTAGGTATTTCTGATTTATAAGTCAGAAACCGATATTTACTACTATTCTGAGCATAACTAATAAACACACAATCTACTGTGTTTTGGTCCTATCTTTGTCTTTTTCAGAACAGAAACTTTAACTTTTGCCAAACATCCCCACACTTTTAAGTATTTATAGAAAGGTGGTCGACCTTTCCATAATTCATAAAGAGTACTGTTGGTTTTCTTGTGGGATATTCTGTTATGAACATAATTAACAGACAATATTGCTTCCCCCCATAAGTTTTGCGATAAGCCTGAACTTAGTAACATGGCATTCATCATTTCTTTAAGGGTTCTATTCTTTTTTTTAGCAATTCCATTTTGCTGTGGAGAATAAGGTGCAGCAGTTTGATGAATAATGTCATGTTGTGCACAAAATTCATTTAAATGTGCATTATATTCACCACCCTATCACTTCTAACCATTTTAATGGTTTTACCAAGTTGATTTTCAACTTCAGTTTTGTAGAGTTTAAATGTTTCTAAGGTTTCATCTTTACTTCTAAGTAAGTATATATAACAATATCTTGTGCAATCATCGATAAATGTTATGAAATACTTTTTGCCTCCTCTAGTTTGAACAAATTTTAGATCACATACATCAGTATGAATTAATTCTAGAAGTTCGGTTTTTCTTTCAACCGATTTAAATGGAACCTTAGTTAGTTTCGCTTCTACACAAATCTCACATTTGTGATTAGGATCAATTTTAAACTTTGGTAGATAATCCAAACTAATTAATCTACGCAAAGCATCAAAATTCATATGTCATAATCTACCATGCCATAAATTCGACTCAAGAATATAAGCAAAAGATGTGTTATTATTATTAATTGCAAGTTTCGGTACAACCATCATTACATTCAACTTGAAAAGACCATCACTCATGTGTCCCTTACTAACATACATACCACTTGTGAGGGAGATTTCATAATCTGGCATTGGACCGTGGTAATGACCGGGCTAAAATTGGTCCGAGCATGTTTGGGCCGAGCTACGCTGGGACAATCCAGGTGCAGTGCGCTCGGTTAAAGCCCAGGTGCGATTTGGCCAGGATAACTTCTCTACTAGCCCGGTTCGCATTGTTTGCTCATTGAAATCGGTCTCCCTCGGACCGGCCTAACCTGTCTGGAGCTCGGCCGTATTGGAATGCTACTAAGCTCGGTTGTGATGGAGCTCAGCGAGTGGCACTGTTGGGCTTGTTAAGTAGCTCGGTCGAAGGAGGTCGAGATAATTCCGCCGGGTTGTCCATTCCCGCCAATGCCGACTGGCGGTTTGATTAGGTGGTGTTTAGCTAAATTTGCGCTGACAGATAGGAGAGCAACTCCACGTGTCAATAAACGAATGGATGCAAAGATGAGTGCAGAAAGTATATAAGCATGACTGCGCCCCCCATGCTCTGCATGGAACATCAATTGGTGAGAGAAACTTTGACATTGATTCAGCTCCTCTCTCTCTCCCTCTCTCAGAGTGTGTGCTAACTTGGTCGTCGGAGGGGTTTTCCGGTAACACACCGCCGGGAAGCTCACTGCTGTTGTATTTTCAGGTTGATCGGATAGACACGGAGCTTGGACACAAGGAGTACGGACAGCGACGAATATCTCCTTCCCGTACACCATTCTTTGTTAATACAAATTTATTAACAAATAACCAGAAACTAAATTCTTTCGGATGTCTGGTACATGCAGTACGTTGTTGAGGGTCAGTTCCTTCCCTAATATCTTCAATGTTATCCCAGATAGGCAACCCAAGAGGGGGGATGAATTGAGTTATTAAAAATTTCACAATATTAAAAATAACACAATATTCAGAATTTTAATAAATAAAAAAAAACAGAATAATAATTATCAATATAAAAGTAGAAGAGATAGAGAGAGAAAATCAAACACTGCGATTTATAGTGGTTCGGCACGCCAGGCCTACGTCCACTCCCCAAGGAACCTCCTTGAGAATTTCTTTACTATCAATTGAATAAATACACCACCAAGCTTGTGGATTTGGCACACAATAGAAATGACAATACATGGCTTGGTCCCACCGAACGAAATGAGATCTTTATGGTTGGGGCCATTTTAGGTTATAGTCAAGTTGAATTTGGTTTAGGACTTGTTCCATGGATGAGTTGAGAGAGGTGTATCGTTCAAACCGACCAGGTGGACTGGGTAGGAGTCGGTTGATCGGAGCGTAGAGGTCGGTCCGTATATTGAGGAGGTCGGTGAGTGTATTGTGAATACCTGGGCTCAGATTCTTTTCTCTTTTCCTTGGACTATGGGGGCTTAGATGTGGAATCTTGGAGAGCCGTCAAAGAGTCTTCGGCGTTCATGTATTTTTGGGTTTTGGCAAGGAGGACGACCATGGTGGTTAGAGGATTTTTGGAAAGGGAAAAGAGGAAATCCGACGGGCGCAAGCCAACCATGAAGGCTGTGAGAATGACCATGTCATCGTTTTCCTCCACTTGTAAGGCTTCGGTATTGAAGCGGGTGACATAGGTTCGTAACGACTTCCCTTTCGTCTGCCGAATGTTTAGCAGTTAGGTTATACACATATATATATAACTCCATCTTTTTCTTCTTGTTTGATTATAATATGATATAATCAATGTAATGTAAAAAATTTAATAGCGCACGTGATGTATTCTATTTATATTATATGCAATATATATATAATGTTCTAATCAAATATTTGCATACAGAAAAATCTCTTTAAATGATATTTATGATGGATCTGAAAATGTATGTCATCTTTAAAATATTGTATATGTTGTAGAGATTTTAAACTAAATATATTCTACTACTACACATTTGGATATATCACTTTTGTCAAAAGAATACAACTCATTAATATCATATTTGTCAAGATAATACAACCAATCAATCATTTTAATCAATTTTAATTTTGTCAAAAAGTGAATAGTGATCAGCCTAAATTTTCAAAAAGTGAATAGTAAAGTTTTCAAAAATATTTTTATTATAATATTTAACCAATATATATATTTTTAAAAAGATAATATTTTGTGTCAAATAATATACATTAAAAAAATTCAAATTGTTACAAATAATATTTTAGACATCATTAAAATTAAATAATATGATTAACATTCAAGATCACCTTTCCTTGTCCAGTCATAGTAGAAGTAGAAGAATTTCCCATGAAAAGTGGTTCACCATTTGCAACCTCATTGTAAGTTGTGAACATATTTTTGTCCGCACAAATGTGACGAGTTGCCCCAGTCAAGGTTTTAAAAACCGGACCGGTGAGTAAACCGAAAAAATGATCGAGTTGACAGGTCACCAGTTCAACCGCCGGGTTGAACTGAATCGAACCGTGACGTCATAATTATGTCATAAATAAGTTTTTAAAAAATATAAATTAACAATATAAATATTCAATTTTCAATTATTTTTTAAAAAAAAAGAAATTCTTAAATATTTCCGGACCGGTGAGTGAATCGAAAAAATGATCGGGTGGACGGGTCACTGGTTCAACCGCCGAGTTGAACCGGATCGAACCGTGACGTCATAATTATGTCATAAATAAGTTTTTAAAAAATATAAATTAACAATATAAATATTCAATTTTCAATTATTTTTTTTAAAAAAAGAAATTCTTAAATATTTTTAGTGATGTTTTCCTATATTTAAAAAAAAAATCCTAAATATAAGCCATAACACTTGACATACTAACAACAAATAAAATTAAAGATGAAAATTTAGCTGTTAAAAACAACAATCATAATAATAAAAATTATGAAAGCATTCAATTAAAGCAATCCATAAAACACAAGTTAACAAAAAGACAAAAGTAAGTCCAAAGTATATCGACATAAAACATAAACCTCAAGCAACCAATGTAAAAAGATGTTTACAACATGACATCATTCTTAAAAATAAAAATAAAAATCAACACAACATAACATAACATCACAAACAATCTTTGATTTTTGCCTAAATCTTCTAGGGACGATAATTTAGCCAATCATCATCATCATTCTCATTCGCATTTGCACTAGAGCTCGGGTTGGTTGATCTATTATCAATGTTCAAGTCACCAAAAGATCCCAAGTCGATATCATCTCCAAGAAGTTCTACCTCCATATCATCCTCAACATCATCTACAATAGTTAAAATAAAGTCATTAAGCTATAATTTTGATAATGATAGATAAAAAAGATTGTTGCATAATGATGAAACATTATTTTCTAACCATCTCATAGACCATGACATTGCCTCTTATATTGTGGAGGCTCATCTTCTTGATAAAGCATTTTTTCGAGCTTATCATAATCAAGCAATGGAGGCTCCTCTTGTTCTAGTCTTTCTTCTTCAATAATCCAAAACTCGATTTTGTCAATGCTTTCAATGTCAATGGGATCATAATTCCTTGTTTTGTAATACCTCCTATATTGATTCAATTGTAAGACAAAATAAACGAATAAAATAAAGAATCCATTAGCTACTATATGAGAAAGATTAATTCACCTATTCTTCAATCGCAAGTTGTAATGAACATACACAAGATCATTAAGCCTATGATGTTCTAATCTATTCCTCTTCTTTGTATGTATGAGTTCAAAGACGCTCCAATTCCTTTCACACCCAGAAGAGCTGCTAGTTTGACTAAGAATTCGAATTGCCAACTTTTGCAAATTTGGAGCACTATGTCCAAACATCTTCCACCATTCATCTTATTATCAAGAAAGAAAGAAAAATATTATAACAAATAAAAAGAAACAAGAAATAGATAAATGAGATAAAATATTCCAATCAAAATCAAATAATAATGATAATTACTATTAAAAAAAAAAAGGCGATTACCAAGCTGTGTTTTCTTAGATGTAGTAATGGCAAGCTCTCTTCCAAAACTATCTTGTCGATCTCGAAACAATCTAAGTTCATTCATAAGCTTCGTTTTACTTGATGTGGTTGTAGTTTCAATCACATCAAGTACACTATTCATAATCTCTGGCTTTCTGCAAAATCAAGCTTGATCATATTAAAAAGCTGGATTCAACCAATAAGCTGCCGCGTGTATATTCTTCCGCAATTGATTATCCCAACGAGTTTTAATGATTGTTGTGTAAGGCCTATACAACCTTTTATTTCTCTTGAAAATATCTTTAATTCCTTTGATTGCCCTATACATGCCTTCATAAACATACCCCATGGACGGTTTCTCATCTCCATCAGCAATACGCAAAAGACGCATAAGTAGCTCAACAATCTTAATAGTGATAAAGCAATCCTTCCAAAATAGTTTATCTAAAATGATATCAATGGCATCCTTTCCATTCTTCTCTTTAGCAAACCTTGAACTTGCAAACTCCTTACTTGTCACCAAAGCTTGCAAATCATGCATATGCTCATGAATGCTATGCAATACAAGGAAAGTAGTGGCAAAGCGCGTTGTTCCTAGGCGCACAATTTCAATCCAACTCTTCTTCTTTCTCAACCGAGCTAACAACCATGAATGGTTGTATATGTACCTTGCCACCGTTGATGCCTTAATAGCAAGCTCATGCACATGATTCATCTTGGAAATTTCACTTAAGATTAAGTTCAAGCAATGAGCTGTACATGGAGACCAATTTATAGATTTGTAAGTTGCATTTACAAGTCCTCCAGCAGCTTTATAATTTGCTCCATTATCTGTCACCATATGAACAACATTCGACACTCCCACCCACTCAATAACCTCTGAAAACAATTTAGAAAGAAGAATAGCATCTTTGACAGCATCAGAGGCATCAATTAATTTCACAAAAGCAATTCCCATAGGGCTATACACAAGAAAATTTATTAGATTTCTTTGTCTACCATCAGTCTAACAATCACCCATAATAGTACATCCACACGTAGCCCACAAACTCTTCAAAGTGTCAATATACAATTGAAGCTCTTTTTTCGAGTCTCTCAATAAAGGAACTCGAAGTTAATGGTAAGTAGGAACCTTATATCCTGGACCAATGGCAATTGCAGCATCAAACATGGGCTGAAAATAAATGGAGTTCACAGCATTGATTGGAATACAAGTATCATAAAAGAATTTGCCAACAATCATATGGCTTCTTTAGTTTGGAGGGCACTTTTGATAGTTGGTTGAGAACTCGGAGTGGTCCTTGGTGCAAAATAATCACCGATTTTTGTTGGTTCATGTTTCTTCCCTTTCCCTTTATGTGTCATTGGTGCTCTACTCTTATTCCCACTTCCAGCTCCTTCATTGATTAAACTGCCCTTATTGTTCCGGGGAATTATTTCCACAACCTCATCAGCCTCATCATCAACATTAACATTAACATCATCACTCTCAAATTGAAAACCACCTAAACCATAAGGATTTAATTCATCATAATTTTCTGCACTTTGCTTCTTCTTTTCATCAAATGCTTTCAAAGACTCATGCATTTGATATTGAATATCTGAGGAAACTTTTTTACATGGCCTAACCTCACCCGACTTCTTTGCAAGATGTTACTTCATTCTATTAATCTCTCCACCTTTAATAGTTTTCCCACAATACATACATGAGTAAGTCTTCTTCCCATTGACATCTCGTCCCTCGATAACATGTGCCCATGCAATATCAGATTTTTCCCTTGTGGCTTGGGTGGAATTAGCTGTTGAATTTTGGCCAGATGACATCCCTCACAACTACCAGGTAGAATAAGAACAAATGAAAAAAAGAAAAATGAAAAAACAATACTCATATTCAAATTAAAATTCCAAAAAGCAAGATTCATTACAATACAATACAATAATCATAATAAAAAAATACTCCTATTCTGGCCAGAGACTCAATTATTAAAAAAAAAAAAAATCAGATTCAATACAATAATTAAATTAAGTGTACTTGAAAATTTGAAAGTTAAATTTCTTCTAACTATTAGATGCATGCAGCAAAATAGGTCATAAGAAAATGAAAATAATCATAATTATTCATGGCTATCCAAAACAAGAAAAAGGAAATCAAACAATTAATATAGTATATCATGCAACAAAATTTTTCAATCTATGTACAGCAACAACAGCAACAGCAGGACAATTAATTTTTCATTGTATCTATCTATACCAACAATTAATTTAGTGCATATAATCTAAACAACAGGGGTTGGAGGAGTAAAGTTTATTATTTGGTGTACAAGAGAGAATAGTCAGGAATAATTCCCATTCTACTAAATAAAGGTGAACCATAAATTTGGCTTAAAATCACAGTGTGCATCGTGTTTTCACACTGGTAATTTGTAATTAATTATTTATTTTATTATTATTATTTTTTATCAAAAGTTGATTTTTCCTTCTTCCTTTCATAGGAAACTGAAAGTTCATAACAAGAAGTACATCAAATCAAATAGACCCAAACAACAAGAACACAGGATTTTTTTTTTTTTTTTTTTTGTAATTTTCTATGAAGGAAAACAAAAAACAAAGCCTTCCTTTAAGTAGACCCAAAATTTCTAAAAAACAAAAAAAGAGATCAAAGATCCATCAAAATAATACCTGGAGGCTGAGATTCTTTGGCAATAGTGGTGTGCGAATATGTGTCTAAAGTTAAGAACTTGATTTGTTAATGGCGAAAAAAAACAGAGAGACAGATCGGCTGCTCTTAAAAGAGCGAGAGAGACCTATGTGAAGATGTGAAGAAAGCCCTAGATGGCTGCTCTTTGAAGACCAGCAACAGAAAATAAAAGTAGATCTGAAAAAAAAAAAATTTATATATATACAAGCAAACCAGCCCGGTTCAATCAACCCGTGAACGGGTCAACCGGTTCACCGGTTAAACCGCGGGCTTCACTGGTTCTCAATAAATACATCGATTTTTACACTTGACCAGGTTAAGAGGGCCAACCGGACCGGAATCTCACCCGGTCACCGGTTGAACCGTCCAGTCCGGTCCGGGTTTCAAAACCTTGGCCCCAATGTTAACCCACCATTTCTTGGGATTTCCGACCAAATTAGCCTCAGACACCACAGGAGAGAGGTTGATATCATTTACCCCGTCAAAGATATAATCTAATTTTGTCACATTAGCTTGATTGGTGGTCTTCTTGCTTGTACTTCCGCGATCCTTCCTAGGGCGGCGGCAGTTAGAAGCTCGATGTCTAGTCTTGCCACAGTTTTAGCATTTTCCTTTGAACTTCTTATTGCCATTGTTGTCTCCTTATTTAGCACCATCTCTAGTACACTTCATCTTTTTGTTATGTAGTTTGTACACTTGTGCAACCACATTAGCCTTGGACTCAATGGGATTTTTACCATTCCTCTTTTTAGCCTTACGGTTATCTTCCTCAATTATTAGTCTTACAATCAATTCATCCATAGTCATCTCTTTGCGTTTATGTTTTAAATAATTTTTGAAATCTTTCCATGCCGGTGGTAACTTTTCCTCTAAAGCAGCGACTTGGAAAGAATCGCTAAAAGACATACCTTCAGAATGAATATCATACAAACAGATAAAACTGTTTTGGGTTTGAACAGATTCGGATCTGTTGGACATATATTAAACTGTACAAAATTTAAGCCTTGTTTGGCATCATCTAAAAAAGTCAAAAAGTCACTATCATATTTAAGTCACATCATCTTATTTAAATCACATCACCTCTCTAACACATCACTTCAAACCCAATCCATATCCAACCCATATTTCATAAAAAGTCAAAAAGTGCACTTATTTAGATCATCCCAAACCATCCCTTAAACTAGACAGATTTGAATTTATACTGTACAGAATTTCTGAAGAGATGCAAACCAAAATTTGAATTTTATTTCTAACCAGAATTTGAAATAAAAAACGGACAGATTTTATTTCTAAATAAATAAAATAAATTCAAATATTTTTGACCCAAAAAGATAAGTATTCGGCCGGACAAGCCCAACCCAACCTCACACCACGCACCCAAGCCCAAGCCCAAGCCCGACGAACAACGACGCGTGTGTTTATTTTTGGATCCGATGGGTCTAGCCAAATTTGCTCATAACCTTTCCCTTCTACAAACTTGGGGTGCCCCTAAAGGGCCCCCAAGTTACAAACTCAGGCCTTATAAACCCACTCAAAATTTGCCCACCAAATTAATATGAGGCAAGCCTTAAGCCAAATATTTAGGAAATTTCACCAAAAACACCATTTTCATGGAGTTATTTTGGCTTTAATTTTTCATTCACCTAATAATGGTTTTGAGCAACCAAACATACCACGTTAATCACAACGCGGCATAGAATGCGTTACCACTTAGACCCGCCAACTTTAGCGTACGGGTCTCACCTAAAAAATATACCAAAGTTAAGGAAAAATCATATTTTTCAAAACCATTTCTTACAAGGACTAATTCATATTTTTTGAGAATTCAATATTTGTTGTAGCCAAGCTAAAAAGAAATAATTTATTTTATTACTTTAAAGACAAAATAGCTTATCAGAATAAAATTTAAGCCATGATTATTTGACCTCTTAAATGGTGAGATTAGATTAATAATCTTGTGAGTCTCACCGGACTCATGTTTGGTTGTTTATTGGTTCCATAGGACTACAAATCCTACTTGGGGGTAGGATTAGAATTCCCTTGGAGGGGGTGGGATTGATAATCCAATCCCTTGGATTGAAGTAAAATCTATTTTACCCTCTATTTATCAAACACAATAAAATCTCTTTTTATGCAATAAACACTTTTACATAATTTTATAGATTTAATCTCAACCAACTAATACCACCATATTACTTCTCAATCAAACACATTTTATTTTAAATATCTAACTTAATGCTAACACATTATTAATCTCCACACTCCATTCAACCATATTCATAATTCCATCTAACATAATCCGACAAACAAACATGATCTTACAGAAAAATTGGACAGCTGCATCACATCACATCACTTGCATCCAAAGAAAAATCCAAAGCGTCCTGCTTCCCGTTAAGGTCAATTCTATTCCCCTGTTTTCGAAATTTTGCACAATAACAAACTTTGCTTGATTTTCCCGATTTTGACGACGCCCAGTTGAGCGGTTCTCCCTATGTCATGCGTGCACGCAAATTTTCCGATGAACAGTTTTACCACCCAAGAAGCCACTACCAGGTCCCAAATGTTTGATTACAAAAATACCTGAAACTAGAAAGCTATAATTTGGAAACTGCTGGGACGAGCACAAAATTAAAAAAAATAAAATTAAAATTAAAATTTACAAAAATGTATATGTAAGAAGAAATGCACAAAGCTATATCATAGTAAAACCACATCCGCTTCATCCATTTCCATCACATTTTTGTTTCTTTGTGTAAATCCTCGCTTTCTTGCACCCGGGAATTTTTTTTATATCTTGTGCCTTACCCACACTTCATATCCAGCATATACTTGCTATCAAGATATTGCTATTTGGACCACTGAACCGATTGGTCATCTTAAATCCCAATTCACATAAGAAGAAAGTTGATGATCCTCAAAATACAAAAAGTACCAACAACTATATCGATCCAACCGTTGAATTTAAAATAAAGTCTAAAAACATCAACGAATGACTAGCCATCAAGGAAAGGAACATACAAAAATAATAAGCCAAATACCATTCCCCTTCATAGTAATAACCTACATTCCAGTGTAATATCAAAAAATTGTAGGAGCATACAAAAATCAAGCATCACACTTCCTTACAAAAATAGAATGTATTCTTTCTGGCAGGTCCAAATAATTTATTCTGAGATGAAGGGAGACAAGAAAAAGTTTACTTTCAGAGGTAATATTGCCAACATCAGCGAGTATGTTGAACTTGAGGGCCCTGCTATAGTGGAGTTGCAAATCCTGTCACCACACAAAAGAAAAACCACATCATGTTGATAAATGATCCTCATACCAAATACGAGCCCTTAAAAAATTCAAATGATAAACAAGAACATGACAATGAACAGGTTATCATCTGGATATGTCACAGAACTTATACAAATCCTTTTAAATGCGTCTCAAAAAAATTCAAAGATTTCAATCTCCAAGAGTTACAGCACCATGTTCACAATTACAGGCCATCAGTTAACAATATGCATCCCCGGATCTGGTGTTATACCTATCACCCCCAAAAAAAATTCCCTGGTCTGACGCATCTCCTGTGACAAACAGAAGACATGCAGCTCAACACAGCAAAAATAAAAAGTCCAAAGACTATCCAAAAATAAATGTTCTTAAAAACTGTTCTTCCACATTATTATCAGGTTCCTCAAATATCTCCCATCTTTGCACCCACTGTCTTCTATAATGTCTTGTTCCTCATCCATAGAAAAGGCACCAAATTTCTAACATGACTATATCCTCAAAAATGCAATCATCTTGCCAATCGATCACAAGATGCCCTTATAAGATAATCTAAAAGTTAGGCACTATTTGGCATCCTCTACTTTTTTTTTATCTTTTTATCATTTTTGGGTCACATCACCTCTCTACTTTTTTGTACATCTTTTTATAAAAAATCAAAAAATATACTTATTTAGATCATCTCAAACATCCTCTTAATTTAGAGATTATACCATTGGGCACTAGGAATTTGTGCCCAATCAGGATCAGTCATTTTCTGAGGGCGTGTGTAGGGATGGCAATTTGAACCCGGCCCGACGGGGACCCGACCCCCCGTCCCCGATAAGAATGGTTTTTCCCTGAAAAATATCCCCGTGGGGACGGGGATGGTATTCGAAATTCAATCCCCGGTGACATTCGGGCAGGGGACGGTGATACACATTTCATCCCCTGCCCCGGCCCCGCCCCGTTAGCCCCGATTTATATTATATATATATATGTATATGTTTACGGCTTGGTTTGGTTGAACAACACAGGAGCAGCCCCTCTTTTTAAATATTAAATATTATATATTATATATTATATGATATATGTTTGGGTCAACACTCTCTCTCACTTACATATTACATTCTCTCTTATCTTCTCTCACTCTCTCTTCTTTCCAGTGGCGAGTGCGATCTCCTCTTTGCAGTGGCGACGGTGCGATCTCCTCTCCCCAGTGGCGATGGCGTCATCTCCTCCTCCGCAGCAGTGCGCACACCCTCCTCCGTCGCCGCCTCCTCCTCCTCCTCCTCCTCCTCCTCCGCGCCACTGCCAAACCTTCGTACTCCGGCTTCGGTTCCTACCACGACAGATCTGGGCAGATCTGAGTAGATCCCATCTCCACCACACCACCGCAGATTTTACATCTCACATCTCAGATCTGAGAAGATCAAATCCCACCATTTATGTATATACATGTATGTGTAAATGTCACTGTGTGTGTAATCTGTCTGTCTCCATATTATTATTAATTTTTTTTTTTTGTGGTTGATGATGTTGCCGTTGATGATGTTGTTGAGGAAAATGATATTGATGAAAATGATGTTGAGGGACCTTCGGGGATTTTCCGGGGTCGGGGAAACCCGATCCCCGTTGGGCGGGGGTGGGGGGGGGGTGATGGTTCCCCGTCGGGGACGGGGACGGGGACGGGGAGTTTTTGTTAGCTTCGGGGATCGGGGACGGGGAGTGCGATCCCCGGCCCCGCCCCGCCCCGTTGCCATTCCTAGGTGTGTGCCGTGGTATTAATGGAGTAATTTCAAAGGAAGATTGCAATATGTTTAAAGAGACCAAACAGCAACAACACGTGAAGAGAACACAACACCACACTGTTGGATCTTTAACAGAACCAAACTAGATAATGACTCATAGATAATTGCAAATCCATATGACTCTTCATTGGAAATGTTCTCACATCGTGTATCCAATTTCTAGAAAAAAACTCAAGTTGTGCAGCCTACTATGGGCTGTTATAACTCAATGCGGAACTCAAGCGCATCAATAGAAAAGTACACTAAAAAAATCCAGAGAAAGCACAACTATATCTTACAAATTCATATGATCATAAAACTTAAATTTGATGCCCCATTCAGCTTAAGGAAGAGACAACAACTAAATGTGAAAAACCAATGACCATACTAAATGACTAATTCCATTGTGCAAAACAATCTGCTCCAGCTATCTGATCTGGATGCTTTTAAAAAAGATAGCATCTCAGCACACATCTCAGCCATCACATAGTTGTTTCAACCCTTGGATAACCCTTTTTTAAAAAGAAGCAGGAGCCCATTACCAATAAACTAAGCTCAATTTATGGAGAAGCCTCTGATAGATTATAGCAGATACGATCAATTTGTTCCTGCAACATCCTTAAATGATCAGACTATAATTGAACTGGCCCAGGGTATTGGTTTGATAGGTTAGGCCGGTGCTAATTACATTGCTTGAAAAGAAAGCCGATTCACATACATGGATAACATTCAGTTCAAGAATGTTCAAGTTTTATATGCCTTTGTTTCTTCTAATCAAATCACAAACGCTTCACAGTGTTGCCACAACAATATTCAAATAAAAATCATCAAGTTACAAGATTTTGTGGTCCCACAAATTGGGCATCAGATGAATACTGATGCAACATGTGTATGGCATATATAATCCTCACCTAAGTTAAGAAATTACAATAATTTTAATAGAAAATTAAAATTACCATTGAAATCTTACCTTGTCTGTATTCTCCTTATTATTGCTAACCAGAAGCTATACATATATATATATATATATGAAATTAATAAATGCATACAATTACATAACCCACCAAAAAATATAATGTCCTTTTGAGGTTCTATCTTGAGTTTCTTTGAACGATAAACATGAAGTTCAAATAGAAGCGATTGCAATTTGGTGCTGTTCCATCCAGTTTCATCAATGTCAACTAGTGCAAAACCCTTTATAACAAGAGATTATTCATAAAACAAAACTTTCAAAAACAAATGGCAACACAAATAGTATGTGTATGACCAACGACCATAAGCATTCTTCAATATGAATTGAACAACTCTGAGAAACAAACAAAATGGAAAAGACTTTTGGTAATTAATTACCTACGGAGAGACAACCCCATTGGCCAACCGTTGAAGACAACATACAATTGAGCAAGGAAGAAGCAGTAGCAGAGTGAAGAGGCATCAATGACTCTCCACAACCCAACTCCACTGGCAACCTACATTGACCATTGACAACCCCAAAATTCAGATCAGTTACGTAATTACCAAAAACAACCACCACATTCACATATACATCTTTCAGAGGGCTACACAAGTGTGTACCTACCTGGTGGAGAAGAAGGAATGGTGGTGGCGAGAGACGCGAGCAGAAATTGAGGAGGGTGCGAGTCCACCGAGGTTAGATGGTACTGGAGGTGATTGGGTTCGACTTTTGCGACTCAGGAAGGCTTTAGCGGACGATGTTGATCTCTGAAATAGCCTTCTTGCAGAGTTGGTCGCCATTTTTGTCCCGTGCTTGCTTAACTCTCCTCTCCTTGATTCTTTTTCAGACAAAACCCAGAGGCCTTAAACCCTAGCTAGCTTGTTTCTGCGATGCGAGAGTGATGATGATCAGACTAGAAGTCCAGATGGGCCGGTCCCAAATACTACAACTCGATTTGGCCCAATAATGATGGACTTTTATGGTTGTTTTTGGTTTGGGTCCCACGGAAAAATATTTGGAGAATTTACGGGCTGGTTTTATGGACTAGACTAGATTTATTTAATGATAATAAGCTTCGTTTTAATTTTAATGATTAATTTATTAATATAAAAAATATTTTTAAAAAATACACTTTAATGATTTGTAATTTTTGCATTTTATTTTAATACAAACTAATATAAAAAAAATTAAATGAATAAAAAAAATCAAAAATTATAAACATAATCTAAATATGTCAATTATTTATCATATTGATAAATTTATGCGGATCATTATAAATTTATAATGGCTTGGTTTGGGAGGTGGGTAGGTTTTTTAACTTTTTGATTTTTTTGACTATTTTAGTCTGGGGCTAAAAAGCTTGGTTTGAGAAGGGTTTTGACTTTTTTGACTTTTTTGTGAGAGAAAGAATGTAATGATTATGGGTTGAATATGATATTTTGTCTTATTGAACTAAAAAGTCTATTTTGTTATTTGTGACTATTTTAGCCAAAAAAGTCCCAAACCCTCTTCCCAAACATAGGCAACACCAAACAGTCATTCTACAAATACAAAACATATATATATATATTAAAAAAACTAAAATATCTCATTATCAAAACAATGGATAAATATGTATAAAAAAATAAATAAATAAAAACAATTTAACTCAGAATTTATGAGTTAATTACAGTCCATAGGATCTGTGTTAGTAGATATTTCAAATAAAATAATCGGGTAATTATTAATTACAAATTATAGGAGATGTAAGATAGTATTAGGGGCCACATGTCTCACTTTACATTTCATAATAATTAACATAATTAGCCGTGCTATGTATGGATATAAATAAATAATCAAAAACTAATTTTTAAAATTAAATAATAATCTAAAAAATTTATCTAGAATATTTAGTAAAAATAATTTAGAGTCAATTAAATTTTATTTATTTTTATCACAGTTACATATAAGAAAAAAAATTATTCTTATATCATTAATTGTGTGCTCTAAGTTCTTAATAACAAATACATGTCATAATTTAATTGATAAAAATTAAAAAATAAATCACAAAAATGATATTTATGATAAAATATAATACATTTCGTCTTATGAGTTTCGTAAATTTAATTTATCATATGATAGTGGTAAATTATATTTGTCAATATATTAATTTTTCCATACTTTGTGAAGTTTAAATATTTGTCTAGCATCAAAATTATAATTTATCTTATATTATTAGATTTACGTAAAAATAGATTAGAATTCACTTGTGATATTAAATTTAGGCTTGACATTAGATTTATGCCAACTTGCCATTTACCTAATTATTAAAAATTATTTTTGTCTATTTCCAACTTATATGAATCATTTGACCTATCTATTTATTAAATTAGTAAATAGATATTCGTAAATATTTTTTTATAATAATTAAAAATTTTGAACTTAGTTTAAAAAAAACTATATATTTATGTTTAAAACAATTAAATGAATAGTTATATATATTTATGGGTGAAAAAATTATATAAGATAAAGTCACTTTAAATTGTAGGTCATATTCTAGCTTATCAATTCATGACTGATATGAGCTAATTTGGTAGCTTGTAATTTGATTAAACACTAAAAAGTAGTTAAGAAAATTTTGTTCAAGTCGATTTTTTTGCCAATAATTCTTGATTTAAACCCATTTAGTTCATGTCCAATTTATGAGTTAGTAAACCCACTTATTTATTTAATTTTTATTAGTAAATATATATTTTTTAAAAAATTATAACCAAAATAGGAAATGTGTATATATTTGTTTGCTATATTTATTAACAATTTTAAAATTAATTAAGAAATTATGTACTTATTCTTAAAAGAATAAATTACATTGATAATCTTTATATTTTAACTCTTGTGATATTTTTGTCCATGCAATTTTAATTTGCTCGATTTTGATCTTGAATTTATAATTTTGTCTCAATTTGGTCCAATTATTATAATTGCTAGTGTTTTTTTTTTATTGAAAATACACACATGAGTAACATCTGTTATAATTTTATAGACAAAATTATAAATTTGTTCAACTCAGTAAGTTAATGTTAACCAACTCAATAACTATTTTCTTTTAAAAACCTTAACCAACATTATCAATTGGACCAAATTGATACAAAATCTAAAATTAATGATTAAAATCAAACTAATTAAAATTACAAAGACCAAATTAGCACAAGAAACAAAATGCAGAGACTATCAATAGAATTTATCCTTTTTAAAATATATCTAATATTTGAATCAATATTAAGATATATTTATATCCGAAAAACTATTTAAGACCAGATCAGGTTAGAACTTGAATACAAAATTGATGGCTTATTAAAAATATTTAATAATTATAAAATTAAATTTGAATATAATAACAAAACATATTTTTATTTAGGGAAAATTAATCTAAGACTTCTCTCTTCCATTTTTAGTAATAGAAGAGATCCACAATATTATTTTATGATGTCTAAAATCTCTCAACCCCACACCCATATATCATAGAGAAATTTAACTCTCTCTATGCGATCTTCATTCTAAAGCGAATTCATTTCTCTCTCTCCCTAAACCAAACCCTCGCTCTCTCTCTCTGCACATTCCTCTCTCTTTGCTCATTTCTCCTCTCTCAATCTTCATCTTCGACAACACCATTACCGCCCCAACATTATCGTCTCATTGTTGCCTCGTAAAGACCGATGCAGATGGCGGAGCAAGAGCGTCACCGACAAGGACCTCGACAAGCTCAAGGCTTGCATTGAACTAGGACTCGGGTTTGAAGATTCAATAGAGAGTAAAATCTAACTTTGTGTTCATGAGCTTGATTGGTGTATTTTCATGCCTAAACTACAGAAATTCCTTTCTTTTTTTTTCAATTTTCTCTGATTTGATTAAAAAATACAAATTTTTTCTACACAATTTTCTCTGAATAGATCCAAAGTCGCACAATTTTTCTCTACACAATTTTATCTGCATAGAGCCACACAATTTTTTTTTCACACAATTTTCTCTGAATAGAGTCACACAAAGCCACATAAATTTTCTCCACACAATTTTCTCTGGATTTTTCGGTATTCAAAGAAATTTCAATTTTCTCTGATTTGAATCTAGAGAAATTATTTGGGAAGTCCAGAATTTTCTTGGAGAGAATTTATCTAGGATTGAAATTGTTGGGAAATCTTCACTGTAATTAAATTAATTAATTATGTTTGTACTAAACGACAAACAGAATATACAAGAAAAATAGGAAAGGAGAGAGAAAGTTTGATTATAAAAATCAAACTAGAAATAGAATTAAATAAATAAAAACAGATTTTATTTTGTTACAAAAATAAAATTAAAATCTGATTTAAATTAATAATAAAACAGAAAATAAATAAATAACTTACTTGATTAATATCTTGAATATTATTCTGATCAAGTCCAGTGTTCGACACTATTTCCTTAAGACAGATTCGTCCTCTCCACGATACTTTCAAAATATGGATGTCTATCTCCCAGGATGAAATGATCAACTACAAATAAATGCAGACTCTATGATGCTTTTAGATTGTGGACGTCTATCTCCTAAGATAAAATGACCAATAGCAAACAATAGCAGCACTACAAATTGTTTGTACAACGAACACATTTTGTGTTTACACTCTTTTTCACAAGAAAATAATGAGCAAACTGTAGAGAGAAATTGCAGAATATTTTGGACGAAAACTGAAGTAAAAACATCAAATGAGGGGCTGCCTATTTATAGATGTAGTGATGGCTATTGATTTTGAATTACACAGGTGTTAACCTGTTTTGAACAGGTATGAAACCTGTTTGGCTTTGAATTAAACAGATTTAAATATGTTGGGTTCAAAATTAAGGGACCTGTTTGGGTGTAGAGAAAAATCGGAACAGATTAATTCCGGAATTAATTTGAATTCTGGACAGTTGGACAGATTTTATTTCAAAAAATAAAATTAAATCCAAATGTTTCTGGCCCAAAAAGAATAGTATTGGGTCGAACAAGCCCAACCCAACCACACACCCGCGCCCAAGCCCAACCTGCCCGACCGAATGAGCGGCTGCGGCGTGCGCGTGTGTGGTGATTTTTGGGTCCAATGGGTCAAGCCCATTTTGCCCATAACCTCCCTCTCTACAAAACTTGGGTACCCCTTGGGGTACATCCCAAGTTCCAATCCCATGCCTTATAAACTGTCACGACCCAAACCCGCCCCTATGGGTTTAGCACCGTAACCGGCCAGTAATCCGTGATTACCGAAGGCCTGCTTAACAGTAAAGACAGTAATACAGAGTACAGGGGCTGGCGGAAGCCAAAATAGTAATAAAAGATGTCCAATGAGTAGTGACAGTCTGTATGCAAAAAGACTTTTTATACATATTTACATTTAGAACCAAAACAGTATATACATACATATACAATTATCCAAGACAGAGACCTAATCCCTATTAGAACAGTACAGTACAGGTACAGTCAATTTATACAAAAATAGAGACAGAAAGGATGAATCTAAAACACCCCCAAAAGCCCTAACTTGAAGGACTTGGAACCTCTCAATGAGGCACAGTGGTTGGCTTGACAAAAAGGGAGTTAAACCCAACGCTCCTAGCTCTGATCCGGTGCCTGAACACCTACATATATATATATATAAACAGTAAGTTAAAGCCCAGTGAATAACATATGCGTAAAGAGGTTAAAAATGAATGTCCTTTCAGTCATTAAACAGTCATATCAGTCATTTAGAAACCATAGCAGTTATAAGTGGCATATCTAATAGCAAAACAGTACAGTAGGTCTTAACAGACCAAACAGTCAGTTGATGGCCATCATATCAGTAAACAGTAGTGGTTCCAAACATGGGAACCGACAGAGATCTCTATGACAGTAGCAATACAGTACAGTAACAGTAAATTGTTATGGATGCCACGAATACAGTTCGCAAATAGGAC